AAAATCAGTTCATACATTAAATGTTTTTAACCATTTTATTGGCGATGTACAGACAGAAGGAGCATGCTCTCATAGGATAGCAATCGGTGCAGTTAGCGAGAGGTTGCGCTTGTTTGATGCTTGTGTACTCATCGTGGAGAAACAACCTAATGTTACAGGAAAACTATCAGTTTCTGGTGTTCACGGCTTTGGGAGAGGAGCTGTAGCGCAGCAGAGAGCCACCTGTAAGGTGGGCTCGTTCATATCAACAGGCTACAGAAAAACACCCAACTTCTTTCAGGTCTTTGTTGCTGCTTTCCCTCAGTTCATCACGTCGTCAGTAAGCTTCCTGTTTTTATAAGCTGAACTGCTGCCGCACACTCAGGCATTTAGTTCATTTATTTTGCGCAGAGACGTCACGTTCCGCCTGTTTGTTTGCAGGTGGGCTCGTTTCAGCTGTTTGTGGAGGGTTACCGCGAAGCCGACTACTGGCTGCGGCGCTTCGAGGCCGAACCTCTGCCGGAGAACATCAGGAAGCAGCTGCAGTCCCAGTTTGAGAGACTGGTGGTGTTGGATTATGTCATCAGAAACACAGGTGAGGGTGTTTGCCTTGATGCAGTAGAGAGCCTTTTGTTATATTTCCTATTTTTACTTCTCTTAGTTTAATTGTTTTGAAAAGTCTACTGACCCTGGAGGTTAACTGTTGCTTCAATTGCCAGAGTTCTTTAAACTTGGAGCTTCAAGTTGTTGTCTCCTTATGTGCTTCAAGCAGTTGTGTCATCCAGGCATATGCAATATTCTGTTTTCTTCCTCTTCAGATCGAGGAAACGACAACTGGCTCATCAAGTATGAGAAGCCAGGAGAGGGAGACGAAAGTGACAAGGTATGCCGCATTAGTAGCAATGCTTCATCCTGGAAGCGGTTACGCTACAGCCAAAATAAAAGCGGTTGTCGGTCATCATCAGCCGCATGTTGACCAATGAGCGTAATCAATTAGCTTAATTTAACTTTCATTAAATTGGTCGTGTGACGAGGCTGTTCTCGACGGTCGTTTCAGGACGCTGAGTGGTCGGAGAACTGCACAGATTCCTGCATCAAGATAGCAGCCATCGACAACGGCCTGGCCTTCCCCTTTAAGCACCCAGATGAGTGGAGAGCATGTATGTCTGAAAACGTCTGTGACTTGTGCTTTACTAAGTCCATCTTTAACCTTAACTGTTTGAAAGTCTCTTATAATGCCAATTAAACAGAACCTGTCTTGCGGGGATTACTCATTGTGTTTTATGTTAAAGAAATTTAAAGACAAGTTAGCCAGTGTGTCACAGAAGCTGCTTGACATTTTGTCAAATGTCTCACTTACCCTAATCTGTCTGCTTGTAATCAGAAACAGACTGCAGATAATTAGCTTAGCTTCAGCTCTAGACAAAGGAGGAAATTATCCATCTTCCTTTCTCCAAAGCTGATATTTAACTTGTTCAAATTCCCCCTTTTTTTAGTGTTTTGTTTTCATTGCCCTACTTAACAAAACAAATTTTAATCAGCGATTGTTAAATTGAGTAGAGCATTACATTTTTTTGTCTTGATGAAATGGTTGCATTCACTTTCTTCTTCTGAAATTCATGCCTTCATACACATCTCACAGTTTTACTTGTTTTATGTTTTTGTGTGTTTGCGTTTTTCCAAGCAAGCTTCACGTAAATCACTTTATTACAGTAGTGTTCAAACAATACTTTCTACTTCCTGTAGCTCTAAATCAATAGTGATGCACATAAAGAGTTTATAATCTACACTGCTAGATGTTTATCAAACAATAAAATAGTTTTGATGGTAATTTTTTTTGTCTAAAACACCAATTATTTGTGAAGAATGAAGTTAAAGTGGATTGTGGTTGTGTCCATCTTTTAGACCCCTTCCACTGGGCGTGGCTCCCTCAGGCCAAGGTGCCTTTCTCCCAGGAGACCAGAGAGCTGGTGCTGTCCCGCATCTCCGACATGAACTTTGTCCAGGACCTCTGTGAGGACCTCTACGAGATGTTCAAGGTGTAAATCAGCACGTTTTCAAACAAAGCCGTCGTAGTTTTCCATTTGGCAGCAGTGTTTGTGCTAACATTAGTGATTTTTCTCTGGTTTCAGGCAGATAAAGGCTTTGATAAAGCCATGTTTGAGAGACAGATGTCTGTCATGAGAGGACAGGTGAGTTTCATCCTGCTTGAAAGAGACTATGAAGCATTTTTATAACATAAGGTAACATTGTTACTTTATTGTTCTATAAAATAGCCTGGAAAATATACAGCACTACCCCTTTAATGAATAAAGAGAAATGCATTGTTACGAGTTTGCAAAGCTAGCAGTACATACTCTACTTAGTAAATGTAGCTGGTTTTCTAACTTAAAAACAGATTGCATTTGATTATTATGAGATTTGATCTCCAATGTTTGGGATGAATTATTGTTCCTTAATAACTGTTGTTTTGTATTGTGTTTTAGACAGAGTAAAAGATTTTGGTAGTCTTTATTTGTCTAAAAAAAAAGCCACTATAGTCTTTTAAAGACAGCTGATTAATGTTTTGATATGAATGATCAAATTAATGCTAGTGAGCTGGAGAGAATCAAGACACACAGCGAGGTTAGTCACTTCTTTAGGTATCAATCAAATCTTTTAATGAGGTGGCAACAAAAGATAACAAGAAAATGTGGAAAAAAATATTGAACTGAGATCACAGAAAAAAATAGAATAAATAATTACAATGATTTTCAATTAAAATCTACATGGAATGCAAACGACAGGTGGAATATTGCTGTGATGAATTTTGCTAGTACTTGTAGAAGCTAACAATGCAGCCAACATTTATTTCTGTTTGTCAAAGGATAGCATTAGGACATAGAAAATAAGTACATATTTTGGCTCCAGTTTAAAGTGGATAAATGAAATTTGTAATGGCTGCTAAATTTTTAGACTCAGGTTGATTCTGCAGGCCTGCAGCTTAAAGTCCTGCAAATTAATAGGTTTGCACGGGTACAGGCCAGACACCCCCTGATATATGATACCCATTACTGTTTTTCTTTTGTTCTTTTTTTTTGTGTGTTAATTATGCCTCATTTTGAAGTGTTTCATTTATTTAAAAAAGAACATGCATGCAAACAGGAAGCGCTGTGTAGCAGCAGATTTGATTAACCTTTTCTGTTGTAGGTCCCCAGTGAGCTGCTTCTGCTGCTCATGCTTTGACTCTGTGTCCCCGCAGGTGCTGAATCTGACTCAGGCGCTTAAGGATGGAAAGAGTCCCATCCAGCTGGTGCAGATGCCCCGTGTTGTGGTGGAGCGCAGCCGCTCGGGCGGCCAAGGACGGGTGGTCACTCTGGGCAATGCCTTCACACAAACCTTCCACTGCAAACGGCCATTCTTTTCCTCTTGGTAAAGCGAGAAACCCGAGGATGAAAGCTAAGGAGAGACCTGTTGGCCAGCCTGTTGTTCTGTACCAACATCAGCCGGTAATAAGGGAGGATTAAATGAGGGCAGAGACTGGGAACAGTGCAAATCTGTCTTTGGAGTGAAAAAAGGAGAGAGGGAGAAGGCAAGCAATTTAACCTGCGTTGAATTGTTTGAAGGGAAGCTAAGTTGAGGCGATCTAATTTTATTTTTTAAGAGAGTGCAGCAAAACGTGGAAGCTGGAGAGATCAACATACCTCGATTTCCTGTCAGCGAGACCCTTTATGCCATTTTGGTGCGGTTGAATAATCAGCTTTTCCACAGAGGGGGGCTTTGTTCATTGTTTGGAAAGCAGCCTTCTTTTTGTTGTTGTTTGACAAAAATCCACTCAACTGCATCTGCTGAAGTTTCACATTAGGTCTGTTGGTGGGGTAGTTGCCAAAAAGCAGCACTTGAGCACCACAACGCATCACTTTAGAAGATAAACAGTGTTGGGTTAATCTAAGGGGGGACTGGTCTGTACGTCTCTGCATTACGGGATTTATTCTGCAGTTTGGAATTTGTCCTCATCTGGAGTAAAAAACCCCAAATTCATGCTTTGCCTTATAGGAATACTTTGTGTAACATACATGTGGATCTACACTCACATGGGTCACACCACTCTGTACCCATTGTTATATTTCAAAACTGCAATGTTAAGTGTCTTTAAGTCTACATACTGCCAAATGTTCTTTTTCTTTCTTTTGAAGAATTACGAAGCCTCAAGCTAAGAACCGAGATGAAACTTGAATCCAGAGGACCGGCGGTGGGGGAGGGCGCTCGAATGTATTCTGTTTACGGTTTACACACGGATTCTATCTCCGAAACATTTCAGTACAAGAGAATGCTGTCACAAATGGGACTTCTCATAACAATGAATGTATTTGTTGTTTGGCATGCGTTTAATTGCTGGCAGCTTTCTCTTGAGCCGCGTGCATTAAGGGACGACAATTCCTCTTTGTAAAATGTTGTTTGAAAAACATTTAGGACAATATTTCTCCTTTTAGCTTGATACCGTTGTGTTTTCTTATGTATGAATCTTGACATTTTTATTCCAACTTGATGATTGTATGAGAGTTGTATATTTAACAAACAAGAAATAATAAAATTTGGGAAATTTGAATCGTTTAGTGTCGGGTGTCTGTCATACCTTTTAGTGAAAGGCCTGAGGATCCTCAAACTGCAAGAAGGTCGCCTTTATGTGTTTTACTGGGCTCTATAGTATAAGCTGAGTGTTTGATGTTTAAAAATACATCTGTGTACCATACATGTGAAATTCAATTTCTAGGATATGTGAAACTGTTGCTGTTGTGTGTTTTTGTCCACTAGATGGCGCTTGAGGTCTGGCCAGGTTCTTAATGTGCTCCCTGTTGGAGGAGAGCCGCACAGGACTGTTTTTTTTTTTTTTCTGAAAAACTAAGCCGCAGCAGTGAAAATATAGACTATGCTGACACGCATGACTGACCATGAGGTTTTTTTAGGAGCTTCATATAGACGTAGACATGACTCTTGGCAGTCAAACCACAACTTCTTGGGCTACCTTAGCTACTGCAGGGAAATTGATGCTGATTTTTTTCATACAATAAATTATTCTGACTTTATGAGGACGAAATTGTTTCCGTCCGAACTTCGTGTGCCTGTTAAAATGCGTTTCTTCCCAGCTTTAGCCGTGTTTCTCTTCTTTACATACGGCCTGTCCGAAGCCGCGCGCCCGGAAAAATGCGGCTCCCGGTGCGACGTGAGCTCCTGTCCGAGCCCCAGCTGTCCCGGCGGCTACGTCCCGGACAAGTGCGGCTGCTGCCTGGTGTGCTCGCCGCGGGAGGGGGACCCTTGCGGCCGCAAGAACGACCTGCCGTGCGGGGACGGCCTGGAGTGCAAGACGCTCTCTGCTTCCGACGCGGGGAAGCGGCGGGGCTCGTCCAGAGGGGTCTGCCGGTGTAAGCAGGACCACGAAGTGTGCGGCACCGACGGGAAGACGTACGGAAACGTTTGCAAGCTGAAAGCTGTCAGTCGGAGAGCCGTGCAGAAAGGGAGAGCAGCAGTGAGCCAAGCGCACAAAGGACCGTGTTCGACTCCGGACCTAGGTAGGACCGCAGAGATGAATATAAAAAAACAGCGACTTGGAACAAACATTAATAGAAATAAATTTAAAAGCTATGTAAAAAAAAATAATAAGTACCGGAAAAGAAGGTTTATATGTATTTTTATTTTATTTTCATGGACACGTTCTGATGACTCCAGGAAAACATGGAAATCACCGTACTTGTGCAGAAAGGATTTTACTGTTTCTGCCTGTTTTACTCCTTTTCTGGTGTAATTCAGATGTTTGCAGTGGGGGGAGAAGTCCGGACAGCTGGAGGGTCAGCTTAACACCTGACTTTTTCACTGAGGAGTCATTCTGTTGTCGTAGGTGCTGAATGTGGTTAAGTAATGTCTGCCTCTAGTATCCTCAGTAACAACAAAATGAGGACTCCTCTTCCTTATGGATCTAGTTTCTAGAAGAATTTCACAGTTTCACTCTTTAGGCCACAAAGTGTGCAGCATTGCTGCTCTACCTGAGGATGGAAGGCAGCTGCGTATCTGGATCTTTTTTTTTTCTTTACATTAAATGTCATGGTAGAATTTGAATTGCCATTCATGAGCACTGGAAAAGTGTTAACTGGTTTAAATTGTTTTCAGAAATTTCACTAGATTTGCCATAAAACCTGTGTCTAATGAAGTGCAACCATCAACACTAATTTTATGGGGGGGTTTTATTGCCTGGAATGTCTGCTTATGTTTCTTCACAGTTTCAGATAAGAAAATATATTCAAAACTTTCTCGTTGTAGAGGTTTGATATATTTACATTAAACATACCATAAGGCTTTTTTTTTTTTTTTTTTTTTTTTACAATTTTGCTCATGTGCAAATGTTTTCTGCCCAACCAAATATTTACCAACCTGTAGCCTGAATGGTGATGTGCAGTGTGGCGGTATTCACACTCACTGAATTCCTCCAGAATGTGTCGTACACTACAACCAGAAACCTCAATGCCTCACTTTTTGGATTTTATTCAGTAATAACTTGTAAATATTGAAAAGAGGCTTCATGGGTCCAGAGCAGAGAGAAATTCAAACCATTTCGTCCTTCAGTCCTAGTGAGGAAGGATCATGTTCTCAACTCCAACACCTCTCTGCCCGGCTTTCTAACCGTACAGCTAGACAGATATTTACAGAAGAACAGAAAAGGCAAACAGGGTGGCTGTGACATGTCAAAATATAAAAAAAGGCTTGTGAGTATCTTCACAAGGAGGTGTATGGATGGGGATGATGTGACTTGTGTTTGCTGTCCTTTCTCTGTATTAATGCAGCCGGTTTGCTCATGTCGGCGCAGGTCGTTCTCTCACCCGTCCCAGCAGCCCCCGATACAAGTTCAACTTCATCGCCGATGTCGTGGAGAAAATAGCTCCTGCCGTCGTCCACATCGAACTGTTTGTCAGGTGTGAAATGTGTGAGTGTGTGTGTGTGAAGTACAGAGCTGGATGTCAAACCAAATGCTCCCTACAGATGAGTCCGACCCATCCGACTTGCCCCATTCGTCTGCTGTGATTTAGTTTGGACTTACTTTAGTTCTTCAAGCGTAGCCCCGCTTCGCAAGCTGCATCAGCGTCCACTCAGAAGACGAATTGAGAAAACCAGTTCAATTTTGTTCTCCTGTTTCTCTCCAGACACCCTCTGTTTGGTCGCCACGTGCGTCTGTCCAGCGGGTCCGGTTTCATTGTGACTCACTCGGGTGTGATTGTGACCAACGCTCATGTGGTAACCACCACCGGCACGGTGACCGGGAGGCCGCAGCTGCGGGTCCAGCTCCACGACGGAGACGCATACGAGGCCGCGGTCAGGGATGTAGACAGGAAGGCGGACATAGCGACCATCAAGATCAATCCGCAGGTAAGAGCGACTCCGTGGATTCTTCTGGTCTTTTCTTTCTGGTTATTAAATGAGCCAACGTGGAACATCCTTGTGTGACAATCTATAGAGTCTTCCTGCCAGACATTCAGAAAGCTAGCGGAAATACTTTGATAAACACCAACTCTGTGACTCACAGATACAACGCCGATGTGCGTATTCTCACACCCGCGTCCCAAATTCTTGGGCTGCTTTGTTAGCTTGAAAGTGTTCCTCTTTCGTTACTCCTCTCCGGTACGATTTATTCATTTTTCTTACTTTTTCAGCTCCGCATGTGCTTTTTACCCGACTTCTGTTTCTCACTCTGTTGTGTTTGTGTTTGTGTTTGTATGTGAACGTTCCCGTGGGAGCAGAAGAAGCTTCATGTGCTGTCTTTGGGCAGTTCGGCTGATCTGAGACCAGGGGAGTTTGTGGTTGCCATCGGCAGCCCCTTCGCCCTGCAGAACACGGTGACGACGGGCATCGTCAGCACGGCTCAGAGAGACGGCAAAGAGCTGGGCATCAAGGACTCAGACATGGACTACATCCAGACTGACGCCATTATCAATGTGAGAACATTAACAGACTTACAGACTTATTCACGTGCTAATTATTTCATACCCCTAACAGATTTACAGTGCAAATACATTTCTCTCGACAAAGACATTTGATAGGAAAAGAGACAAGCATTTCTCATGCAAAGTAAACATTTTTATATTTTTATTTATGTCTGAATAAAGTATAATTTTGCATGATCCTTCAGGCATTTTGACGGTGAGCTCTGAGTCTTAGAGGTTGGACGGCCTCCCTTTCATAACCCTAATCTTTGTCTCCTTCCACAGATTCTCTATCAAGTGAAGTATGATTCTGTCTGGGCTGCCCCAAAATGTTAATATACATCTAGATGGAAGAAACATGTTGGCCAAATTTTCAGATTTCCTTAAACATAACTCTGCCAGGGACAGCATCCATTTTGGGCTTAATTGTATGACAAAGAAGTAACGATTAAGGCCACGCTTTTTATGTTTGTTTTTTTTTTTTTTTGTTCTGTTTTGCATCTACATGCAACCAGTATGGCAACTCTGGAGGACCTCTTGTGAACTTGGTAAGTTATATTTTTGTGATCTCTATTTTATGGGGTTTTAGTAAAAAATCTTATGAAAGTGGTGATTTTTATTTTTGCCATAACAAAATATCACAGTGTGATTTCTTCTAAATATATTTTAAATATGACCTGACTGCTATCGGGACCCTACGCTGTTGAGAAATGGTTGCTTGTCGAAGGCGTGGATTCTGTTAAAGTTTGAAATGTTACACAATCGCTAACGTTTACCCATGACGTATGTAATACGCCAGCCCAACGCCAAGAAGCTTACCAGAAACTGTCTGTGACATAAACAACCATCCTCCACTTCAAAGAGAGAAGTGCTGATCCAAACAAGATGGCCGTTAATGTTAATTCAATATTTGGAGGCGTGGCCAACATGGACTGAACAGTTCGATCACTTCCTCCGTTGCCATTCCTAAAACTACCAGCAGACTTCAATTCTAAAACACTGCAGAAAATCAGTGTCGTCATTCACAACTTCTTCTATTCGCTGATTCGTCCAGACGACATTCTTCTGAAGGAATCCAAGTGAATAGGAGAAAGCCCAGATGAAGCACTGTAGGGAGTTAAGAATTGGTGGGACGGCAATGGTCGGGCTAGGTTGGGGTTTTTTAACGCAAAACTCCCTCCTCTCCTGAGTTTTGAACATTTCTTATGCCTGACTAATTTATGGGTCAAAGTTAAATGGATTAGCAAACTAAATCTAGTATTGTTGAGACTGAAACTTTTGACCAGGATCACATCACTGGATTTCAAGACAACGTGTATCTTAAAGAGCAACATGTTGCACAGTACTTTAGATGCATTGTCTTGCAGGACGGCGAGGTCATAGGCATTAATACTCTGAAAGTGACCGCAGGAATCTCCTTCGCCATTCCCTCAGACAGGATCAGTCGCTTCCTCTCAGAGTCACAGACCAAATATACCAAAGGTGAGAGTCTTAGGTTGATAAGGATGGATTTGTTTTTAAGACAAAAGTTGTGTAGTTCATCTCACTCCAGCTGTTGCCTGTGTGACAGAGAAGACCCGACTGCAGAGAAGACGCATGGAGGAGACTCAATCTGACACAGGTGAAAACTCCTAATGATGGAAACACGATGATATAAAATCTTTTTTTTTTTTTTTTAAATAATAATAATAATAAATGTAGCACTTTTCTGTTTGTTTCAGAAACAAAGAAGTACTTTTTAGGCATCAGGATGATAACAATCACCAAAGTGTGAGTTAAGGACAAAGACGCACTGTAGGTTGGGTAAGAATAGACTTGTTTTGTTTCGTCTTGATGGGCTTTGTGTGCACCTCAGTTTAACGGCAGAGCTGAAACTTCAAGATCCGGACTTCCCCGAAGTCAGCAGTGGCGTTTTAGTGCAGCAGGTGATTCCTAAAAGTCCTGCTGAGAGGTATGAACACACACACACTCTAACAGATAGACAATATACACAGTTCCTTAAAGCGCTTTATATTAACTCGCTATGAAATATTTAGACCAGGGGTGTCAAACTCCAGTCCTCAAGGGCCGCTGTCCTGCAGTGTTTAGATGTGCCACAGGTAAAAAACAGTGGAATGAAATGGCTTAATTACCTCCTCCCTGTGTAGATCGGTTCTCCTGAGCCTTGCTAGTGACCTAATTATTATTTTCAGGTGTGGTGCAGCAGAGGCACATCTAAAAGTTGCAGGACAGAGGCCCTTGAGGACTGGAGTTTGACACCCCTGATTTAGACCTTTGAGGTTAAACTATCTCAGGATATTTTGAAAGGAAGAACTGCAAAACTATTAGGTTAAGGATTACTATGTTCCACATAGTAAATCTAGGGTAATTTCACCCTTTGAGCCTTTTCACATGTTGTCACATTACGTCTATAAACTTGAAACTTAAAGAGTCGTGTCCTTTTGTTTTGAACAGTGGAGGCATTCGGGCTGGTGACGTTATAGTGAAGCTAGACGGACACCTGGTGCACGCCACCGAAGACGTCCACCGAGCTCTGCAGAGCGATCTTCCTCTCCTGCTTGAGATTCGCAGAGGAAACAACGACTTGCTGTTTAACGTCCGCCCTCAGCTGCTTGGGCATTGAAAAGATCGGGACGGGACTTTATTTTTCGGCTAGAGCGGTCCGGTGAGAAGAGTGAAGATATCAATCGATGTGCGGTATTTTCAGGAAATACTGCAAGCAAGCAACTTTTCCAGATGCATTGATGTATATTTTGTTTGATTCTTACTTTCAAAATGTTTGTTTTGATTTATGTGCAGTGTCGCGTAAAAGTATTCATGCACCTTGGGCTTTCTCGTATTTTTTCATGTTACAGCAACAGATTTTAATTTATTGCTGTTCAGTCTCGCGTCTTTTGCAACCATAACCCAATTTTATACCAGCATCGCCTTTGTTTAAGATACTTTCTCAGCAGGTTTCCTGTCCCTGCTCAAGAATAGCCGTCCCAAAGCATAATATTGCCACCACCTTGCTTCAGCATGGTAATGTCGCACTCAGTGTGACTTTACTTTTCTCCTGCGCGTAGTATTTTTTTTCTTGCTAACCAAAAAGTTTCAGTCTCATCTGACTGTAACAAACTGAAATCAGGACTTTTATGGCTTTCTTACAGCAATGTTTTTTTTTGTTGCTATAAAGGCCAAATTTATTTAATTAGAGCTCTCACCCCCCCCCCCCCCCCCACAAAAAAAACAAATTTTTTTTAATATTTTTTTTCTTTTTTCGCTCAAAAAT